TTCCTGCTTTATTTTTTTGGGTAGTATGTTTTTAGGTTTTAAGGCCTCAAGAAAAATGTACAAAAGGAAAGAAAACCATTATATAAAACAGCGTGCTTTTGATCCAGTTGTCTCCAAAGTGGGATGATAGAAACTTAGGTAGGAAAATGTCCTAACATCGCCACTCACAGTCATTTCTGAGAGTCATTTTCCAGTGGGTAGTGGCTCCCCTCCTGTGGTGGCTCTACCTCAGATTCCACTGACTATAAGGCCTGGTGGCTGAGGCTACCCTCTGTCACAGGAAGGCCACCAAGTGCACAAGCATCCATGCGTCCAAGGCCAGCGTGGCACAGGAACCCAAGGGAGAGCCAGGCTGCCCACGCACACCACAGCCCACGGGGGGCTTGGCAGCGGCGGGCCCCTCATTTAAGGACTGGGTCTGAATCCGAGTCATCGGGCCAAATTCAGCCTTTTGTTTGCCAAACCACCAGTCAACTTAAACCAAAACATGTTTTTGGAAGGACACACCACCAGCAGGGATGTTCCCAAAAGTTAACTATGGCAGACCCTGATTAAGATTATCCATGCAATGCCCCGTGTAAGGGATTGACAAACTACCTATGAAATCCAGCCCACTTCTAGTTTTATTGGAACAAACACACTTCTTTGTAAATATTACTGCCTTTGGGCTGTTTTTACATTACAAGGGCAGAGCTGAATAGCTGTAAGACAATATGACTGCCCACAACAAAAACATTTACTGTTTAGCCTTTAATGGGGAGTGTGTGGGCCTTTGCGTGAGACAGGAAGATGGTCAAGTATAGCCCAGACCAAAACATACCAAGGGTGAAGGATTTCACCTGCATCTAGGGACACTAAAAGACTTGGAAGATCAAGTAGGATTTCTGGCTTGGGGGCCAGTGATGCAGTCACTGATGGGAGGATAGTACATTCTGCAGGAAAAACGACTAAAAGGAGTCTAAGACTTCTTTAGTTGGAAGAATCTCTGGAATTTCTAGTTCAGGTGTCTGGAAAGTGAGGAAATAATAGTGAGCTTGGAGCTCCCTCCTCTGTTCTCTTATCATACTCTGAATCCTTAGAATTACTATACCCTGCCGCCGCTAGTTTACAGCTTTAACTCTGAGGGCAGAATGAGATCTAACTGATCCTCTCTGCTCCAACTCCAGGACTCAAATGGGAGGAGCACGGCACAGAGTTGACAGACAGGGACAAGGAACTGTAGCTACAGTCAAAGTTCCGATTAGGGATGTGCCTTTGGGGCACAACTATGACACACCTGCCCTTGAAGACTGCTCAAGTTAATATGGGACATAACATTTTAGAGTTTTAAAGATGGCATTAACTAAGATGTCAAGTCTTAACCAAGAGCTAAATGAGGGGTGCAAAAGGCCGCAGAGCAAATCACTTCAAGTGAAGGGGGGCATCCTGCAGAAAGGGCTGAATCCGATTACTCAGAGAACATGTAGCCATCTCAATGACCTGCCAGGAAAAGAGGGCAGGAACCCCAACCTCTTCCCCTACCTGTTGAAAAGGGGACACACTGAACTCAAGCCACAGGAAGATGACTGGTGGGCAAGTTTTTACAGGCTCCCCACAACGCTACAAGGTGCAGCCACGATGGAAAACCAGTGGTTTACGCAGGCTGAATTTTACACATCAGCTTCTCTAGCACAACAGAACCATCCCTCAAGACAGGGAATCTCAAAGACTCAGTTTTCAAACAGTAAGAGCCTGACTGAAATGAAGTCATTGTTTTTTTCACCCAGGGGCACATTTTAATTCACAATTTAACTCAGTGGAAGAGAAGAATGTGAGTGCATGAGAAAGTCATAAGGCAATTGTTCCCCAGATGAAATTACAACCACCTCCAGAGAGCGCGGGCCATCTTGAAGTAATGGGGAAGGGAAAGCAAACGAACTCTCAGTTCCACTCAAAACAATAAAGATGCCCTGCACACAGCGATGAGCGGAGCAGGGCTGTCGTCTCAGGCTGGGGCACTACTTTACACTCTGTTCGGCCTCGGGACTTCCTAAGGATAGCTACAACTCCTACTTTCCCAATGCAATCAGTTGGAGAACTGGTTCTGAAGGAACCCACTGTTTCTAAATCCGAAGCATAACCCAACGGCAGCGACAAGGCTCCCGGAAGCATTCCCAGAGGAAGCCACTCCAGGCTCGGCAGAGCGTCTGAACCTGAGTTCCAGCACTCTCCTGCTCTCACAGTCACTCCAAGTCCTACACTGAAATCACTAGTGAGCTAGACCTAGAAAAGCCTATCTGGAGCGAGTGAGGCTCCCACCTCAGCATCTTCTGTTGCTCTAATGAGATTAGATCTGAGGGGTAAGAACAAAGAACACTCTCCTCCCAAATGAGTGGTAACAGGGAATCCTACCTACACTGTGCCCTTGTAACTGAGTGCTAGGAGGAGACAAACAAAACAAATAGGTTAGCAGGTGCCTCTCACTTACTTTAAGACAGGATCTGTGGAGGAAGGTGGGCTGTGAAATTTTTAAAACTCACCAAGCTGGAAGCCAACAGAAAGGCAAGTGATCTTAGATCCATTAGGAGGCAGGTTGGGAAAGAGAGGGCCTAAAATTTGTTTAGAGTAACACAATGTCACAGTCTCACAGATGGGCATGACAGCTCTGAGCCATCCAACACTTAGGGAGGAAGCAGCTATACACCAAGGATACTGACCAGTACTGGTCCAAGAGCTGGTGGCCTGACTTCTGCTTCTCTCTGTACAAGGAGAACAGTGTCTAACATTCCCCCAGTCACAACCAACTGTCCACTCTCATCTGTGAGGACCGCACTGATTTGAAGTTTACCTGCCACAGGTCTGCCTCCTTTGCTTTCATTCTGTCTAGATCCTCTAGCAAGACCCAAGTGCCAGGTGTATAGAATGCACAGGCTGCTCAGGGCATGAATGCCGTCACCACAAACGCAAACACCACATCTGAAATACACCACCAAGACCCTGACCTCAAAAAGCCAATCCCAACCACCCTGGAAATACATCGTACATTAAATCTACCCATACAGCTGGCCACCACCTTTTCTAGCACTACACTGAAACCACAAGAGTTCGTTACATCTGCAAAACAACAGAATAGAAATGACAGCATTCGAGAAGAGGTAAGGGAGAATTAATCCCAAACCAGAGCCACAGTCTTAAACAAGACCAGAATCATACTAGAGATTTTCCACATTTCCCCTTTTAAAATAAATCTTTAAAAATCTGAGACTATAATATATACTCTTTAACTCACTGCTTGGCTCTTTAAAGGCAAAATTACTTACAAAACCAAATGTAACTTAAGGGTAGGATAAGTGCAGTTCAAGAATAAATCTGTAATTTTAAATAACACTTTTTATTTATTTTCCCCAGGGTGGGAATGCCGCAAATTAAGAGAATTCTTAAAAAAGTAGCAGAGAAGTGGTCCATAGTGTTTTAAACCAGACGTGACACCAGAGGAACAACCACTCAGGTACACAAGTGGCATTTTGTGATCAAATTTATTTTTTGTTTAAATTTCATTTACTTTGTTTTACTGTAATTTACACGAGAGACTGCCAAGTCAACTAGGTATTTTACATTCACCACACATCCCCTCAAATCTCCACAGTTGTTACAAAAACATTAAAATCTGTGTGTTGGGCTCTCACTTCCATGTGTGCCCAAGCTCCCAATGAGACTACAGATGCCAGTGAGAGTTAGGTTCAATAAAAGGAGAGGGCTAGACTCTTTAATCCACAAATTAACAATGATCTTCCTTGCACCAAACACTTTGCAAAATGACTAAGCTTAGACAAAACCTACCTTACAACAGTGCCCAGAAAGTAAACATTAGTCTTTATCCTGAGTACACAGAGGACACAGGAAATATGGGATTTGTTGCTGTGGAAAACAGTGTATCACAATGCAGCTGTGATCCTAAACATCACTGTCCCATTTGTTGCCATCTCTTCAGTGGGGACACAGGACATGTGGGAAAATGAGGAGCAAGGAGGGCAGGACTGTCAGCAAATCCGATTACTGATGTGATTAGACTGCAGGGGTTGGCATGTTTTAGAAGGGATGGGAGGTTAAAGAAGACAGTTTGTGACCTGAAGGCTTCAACAATATCATTCTACTCAAGCTTCTGGGACTGACAGGAGAAAAACTGCATTCAGACAGAGAAGGCTGATAAAAATCGTACCTAGCTATTGTTCCTTCTTAAAAGCGGGGGGGGGGGGGGGGTGACACCAACTTCTAATGAGCATTTTGCCACCTATGCAAGGCGAATTCTTTGACGTCCTACTGAAGAGCACATACAGAAGTTAGAAAGCAACTGGCCCCTTGGCAGGGCCCCCTACAGTGTGCAGTCAAATCCCGTGCTGCATCTCATTCTATTCCCAGCTCAGAGTCAGCATCCCCCCTTGAGGTGTAATGCAACACGAAAAGAACAAAATGTCGCCACTACATCCTATCCGGTAAGCTATTAGGCATCTAGACCATCTGCATAGTTTCTATGCTATAATAGAAAATAGTCATTTTTGAAATGCTGTACTTCCAATTTTCCCATATGGCCTACAATACTCTTAAGATTAACATCTTTGTCAATTCCTTTAACAAAAGCCTGGAAATTTTCTAGTGTTTATTATAAATCACAAACCGCCTTCTCCATTTTTGCTAGATTTGATGTAGAAAAATACTTGAAATTTAAAATACAAAAATCCAATAAAAATCAGAAAACTTTTCTAAAAGGATTTTTCCCTCAGGGCAAAGTAGTAAAACCTGGCCTGTAACTTTACGCTTAACAGATATTATCAAATTTGGCTGGAAGATACTGACCATCCAGAAATAAATAGCTATAAATACAGAACTTACATTCCAGGTTCATTGGAATACCAAAAAATTTTGAAGTCTTTCTGTGGGAGTCTATTGATTATGGGACTAAAATAAAAATTTGTAAGAGACTGATTTAAAAGAACAGAATAACAAAATGCTATATATATATATTGGTCCACAACTTGACATTTTATGAAACATACCAGCTAGTATCGCAATGTAGTCAATTTGTCCAATAATGGTATTACTCTGATAATTATTAAAATCTGTTCCAGGTATATATATTGAAAATATTTTCTTTTGCATTCTTGCCCAAGATCGGTACAGTACTTTGGAGAAATTGTACTAATCCCTTCAGTATGTTTGTATGTACATATATACACACACGTGTGTATCTGGATCTGTAGCTCTACGTGCCTTCTATATACAGCTACAAACACGCACGCACACACGCACACACACACGCACGCACACACACACACGCACGCACACAGCTGGGAACCTGTGCGTGTGTGTGTGTCATCACAAGCACACACTGGAAACACCAACACTGCAAGGTACTTGTCGGACTCTTCTTCACTCGTCACTGGCTGCACTTGTTCCCCTCACTTGACCTTGATTACGTAACTGCAAAAAAAGGGAAAGTGCAAAAAATGTTAAAATACAGAGACACAGAGAGTGTTTCACAGCGGCTTGTCATATACATTCTCCAGGGAAAAAACCTCTTGATGTGACAAAACTTTTGGCAGGAAATGTATCCCAACTACTGCACTTTTAATATGTTAATCTCAAAGATCTTGGTCTTACTAATACCACATTTTGTTTCATTAGAGGGAAAATAAATTATAAGTAAAAATAAGTCATAAAACTTAGAATTTAATCAAAACAATAGCTACAAATTTTTAAAAAATGAACAGGGAGTTTATTATAAAGAGTAAGCTCTGGAGAAATCTTGCGAGTTAGGTCCTTATCTGCTGCAAACTGAAGAGCTCATTTATCTCATGCTCCACCATTAAAGAACAGGTAGCTCATGGGAAGGGGGCAGGAAAGAAACAGTGGAGGGAGGGGAGTGCTATGTACAGTTCTTTCTCTTAACGAACATCGTAATTCATTACTTACACGTACACGTAATGCCTATGCAATGCACAATTCTGTTTACCCACACTGGTTTCAGTATGTGGGGTAAATTTCGATACTCTTTTCCCCTCTAGAGAAATCTGTTAATTGGGCATGTAAGTGTGTCTTAAGAGAAATATGACCACAGAAATGTTTTATACTATAAATTAAAAGCAAAGTACATCTGCACAGAGTAAAGCTAACAGCAAATTAAATAAAGATTAAATATGAAGACTTTGTGGTACACAAAAACAAGTTTACCTCAAGTAAATTTAACCTGTTCCACAGGAACAATTGTCACAAAACTCAAATAATCACTGTCAATTTGTAAAATATGTATCTTCTAAATTCTAAAAATAAAATCTCATTTAACACTTCCAGCTCAGCAAGTTAATTCCCCATCAGCAAAAAGGTACAGGATTTTACACATTCTTTTTTCCCCGGTCTTCACTTACACAGTTTGATATTGTCTCTGACCCTACAGGGGACTCATCTAGGCATCAGCAGCCGAAGTGCCTCGGACGGAACCCTTCTTACGCATCTAAATGTAAAATAAAACCATGAGCTGCCGAAATCATACTCTAAGTAGGAATTATTAAGCAAGGGGAGAAAAAAAGACCCAGAAGAAAGTATGAAGTGATAGGTGCCTATTTATAACTCTATCCACATGAAGAATTAAGTGGAGGCCCCTCTGGTAATCTTGCAAAGGGCTTTCCTTGCACATCACAGAAAATACACATGTATTTTTGTATATAAAAAACAAATACCTACAATTTGATTTGGAATTATTAAAGCCACCAATAGATAAACGAACTATTTGCCAATACAATGTGAAAAAAAATGCCTAAATGTCTGGTCCATAGTTTCACAGTTCCTAAACCAGACAGGAAAAGTCCTAAGGGGTAGTCACTTCCACTGCTCCTGAGACCAGGTCTCTCAAAGTCCATTAAAAGAAGGTTATAAAAGAGAAAGAGACTGAAAGAAAGAAGCAAGCAAAGGAATAATATATGGCCAACAACAAAGGTTGAAATGATGCAAAGGAAAGGCCAGGCACTTGTAACAGTCTACCACCTGCCTCCCAAGCAAAAGGTTCTGAGTTCAATCCCCGTAACCAAAAAAAAAAAAAAAAAAAAAAAAAAAAG